TGGAGCAAAGGAAACTATAAAACCAATTTTGCTAGGCTCATACAATGCATTTTCTTATAAAGGGATGATAGCAAAACAATGTTAACTGTGATTCCCAAGTTAAGGGGCTACTCCTAAATCACTGCACGCCAGGAAATGGTTTACCCACGACTAGGGTAAGATGAAGCACAAGTCATTTTTCATCCTCAAGACCCAATCGTGTGTGCAGAAGGCTAAGTGGGTTTCTGAACACATGGAATTCTGATAGGGAGGAGGCAGAGCATGGAATAGTTTGCTTTATCTTGGGAATTATTGCTGCTGTGACCTGAGTAGGACATAGAGTGATCATTTACCATCTCCTTCCCCCTCTGTCTTAACCAGTCATGTAATCAGCCATCAAGTCCTAGAGATTCTCTCTCCTCATTGTTTCCTATCACCACTTTCCTTTTCCTCCTGCCATTGTTTCGTTTTATGTTTGTTCATTTCCCACCTGGATGACTGGGTTAGGCTCCCGACTTGTCTCATTTCCTCCACACCGTGGCAAAATAAGCTTTCAAAATTGCCAATCTGATCATGTCATTGTACTCCTCAGACTATTGCTAAGCTCCCTTCACTTCCAGGACGGAGCTCTCTTCATTGCCATCTCTCCTCTGTGGCCTCCCTGGCGGCCACCCTCCCTTGCACCCACGACCAGGCAGAAGAGGGACCACTCATTCCTTCCTGTATCCTGATATTTGACTCCTCTGAAATTTCCCTTTGCCAAGAACACCCTACCCTTCTTTTTCACTGAGTGATTTCCTACTTATTTTCAACAGTAAAAGAGTAACAAACAGTACAAAAAAAGCACAAAACACAATCTCAAATAAAATATCCCTTTCTTATGTCATGACTCTTTTGTGCAATGTAATGTAATGCTCCTCTTCCATTTGTTCATAGGAGCCTCTGCTAAGTGTTCATACAATTAGTCACAGCTCTGAGGTGACTGATGTGGTTAAACCCAGAAGCTCCTAACACAGTACAGTGTTTGGCCTATAGTAGGCACTCACTAAATATTTTTGGAATGTTAACCGATGGACTCCATGTGAACATTGGGTTTGAAATCACAGAAACAGCCCCAGTCCAGTGGAGTAGAACAGGGACATTTACGTGTGGATACCTTGGATGTTGTGGAACATAAGGGCAAGAATCTGCTGCTACAAGGAAAGCTGCTATCACTGACTGGGCACTGTGGAACCAAGGCCCTTCCTTCTATGTGTTTCTTATCCATAGCTCAGTTTTTCAACCCACTCTGTCTTCTATGACTTTATGCCCAGCCAAGTCCTAGTTTTACATCACATTCTAATCCAGGCCTTCATCAGACACTACTTGAAACATTGAAGTTTAGCCCAGTCTTAGATAACAGATGCTGATTATATAAATTGGGTGAATGTCCACACTTGGCCTAGGAAAGTCAGGCAGGCAAAATAGAATCAGTGGCTTTTCTTCCGGATAGAGGCAAGGAAAAGGATAGGGGATAACTGTAGTCTACCTTCAGATGCCAAGAGAATGGATGGTTAGTCCTCACCCCAGTTCTGTACTTTATTTAATCAACTTCCTAGACTCCTAGGTCATTTAACTCATTCTGCTTAAAGTTGTGCTTTCTTGAGGTCCACTTTGCATTTTATGAGAAGTTGATCCATGAGGATTTCCCCCCAAGATGAGCATGTGGTGAGGCCATGATTTTCTAGAATTATAAAATACAAATTCCTCAAGGCAAAAGTAGTTGCCAGAAGGGAGAGAAAAAAATTAAACCAGATTTACTGTTTGTGATGCAATAAAAGCAGTGACAAGAACGATGCAGTTCTAAACAAATTCTGGTTATTTCTTTTTTTGTCAATTAGTAATAATGATAAGGACTTTGTTTAAAATGTGATTCAAGTTTGATGGTGCTTCTGTAAACATCTAATTGCTTTTTGTGCCTATAAGATAGAAAGATATATCTTTCCTAGGTAATGTGCTTTCATTTCAAAAGCCAGTAAACAAAATAAAGCAACAACCAAAACATATCTATTCTAGAGCACCTGTTATCAATTGGATTATGTCCTTCTCTAAATCATAGGTTGATGTTAACTCACATTGCCTGAGACTATAACTTATTTGGAAGATAGATCATTGCAGATATAATTGGTCAAAATGAAGGCATTCTGGAGTAGGATGGGTCACTGCTCCAGTATAATTGGTGTTTGTATAAAGGGAGGAAATGTCGAGGCAGACACATATACAGGGAGAATCCCATGCCAAGATGAAGGCAGAGATTGTGGTATTGATTTGTTCACGCCAAAGTTTCAAGCACACATGTTTATGGTAGAATTCCACTTATTTTGTGATCCATTCATCCTCAATTGTAGATGGTTTTAAAGTCTAGTGGACCTGTATTAGTGAAATTTCCAAATACCTAAAGAAAAAAATATCCTCTCTAGATTAGTAAACTTCTCTCCATATACCCCCTATATGAAAAATAAGACAGTTTGATCCCTGGTACAAAAAAAAAAAAAAGATGGTCTAACTGACTCTAGACGAACTGTATACGTGTAACGACAGAGATGCAGTAGGTGTGGGTCTACGTGCACACTGGGGATGACACCACTGCAGCGAACAGCTGCATCGTCACCCAAGTCTGCACCCCTTTATTGTTCCTCTTTCTGGAACATTCAGTTTCTGGTCAAAGACAAAGAACGGATGATAATCTGCTCTCCATTGCTATGTAAGAGTTTACATCAAAAAAATTTTATACAAGCAGAATCAATATACTTTTATTGTTGCTGTTCTGACTTCTCTCATTGAACGTAATTATTTGGGGACTCATCCATGGTTTTGTACACAACAGTAGCTTGTTCCTTTCTAAGTTAGAAAGGTGTGAATAAAGCTATCTTTACTTACAGGAGAAAACATCAGCTGATTATAGTGTAGGATGAAAGAGTAGATTAACAAGTGAGTGGAGTGAGATTATAGAATGTTCGGGAACTATTTTTTCTATACTCTAGCAAGAGAAATGAAAATTCTAATTAAAAATATCATTTATAATACAACATAAAATTATGAAATACTTAGGTATAAATATTTAAAAGATGTATAAAGCCTATGCAAGAAAACAAAAGACATGGCCCAGATAAAAACAAAAAGAAATAGAGAAATATACCACATATATATGTCAGAAAATTCATTATTTTTCTCAAATCTGTCTGATTCCACTCAATATCTCAAGGATATTGTAGGGCTCAATAAGATGATTCTAAAAGTCACATAGAAATTCAAAAGATTTAGAAAATTCAAAACCACCAGAATAAAAACTTTGAAGAACTAATACTATGTGAGTCCAAATATATAAAATTATAGTAAATTAAACAGCTCAGCACTGATATAAAAATACAAATAAATCAATGAAAAGGCCTAGTTCAAAAATAAGCTTCCAAATTTATGGACACATATATTTTCATAAAGACACAAACACAATTTAGAGCAGAAAGGGTATTCTTTTTGAACAAATGGTGCTAGAACATTTGAATGACCATAGCCAAAAAAGGAACTACATCCAATTCTTACATTCTATTTAAACTGAAAATTACATCCAACCCTTACATTCTATTTTAACTGAAAATTGATCAGAGACCTAAATGTAAATCTCAAGACCATAAGATTTTTAAAGGAAAAATGCAGTATCAATTTTTTATGGATTTGAGTTAAGCAAAGGTATCAGCTATTACATCAAAATATGATTTAGTAAAAATAATAAGTTAGGCTGAACCAGAATTAAAATATTTTGCACCTCAAAATACACTATTAAGTTACTGAAGTCAAGCCAGAGACCAGAAGAAAATAATGAGAAGGCATTTATTTTCTACTCACACAATGGAAAAGTACTCTGCAAAAATTTAAAAAAGAATAAGCTTGTAATACATGTAACGAAGTGAATGGATCTCAAAGTAATTTTTTGGAGCATTATAAATAAACCAGGCAAAAGAGTACACGTTTCATCATTAAATTTATACCAAAGCTTAACAAATGCAAACCAGCCTATGGTGGCAGAATTCAGATCAATGTTTGTCCTGGTTTCCCACATGGGCAGGTAGGATGCTCCCAAGAGGGCAGGAGAGAATTCATGAGTGACGGATAGATTCATTTCACTGAGTGAGCTGATCATTTCATGGTGTGCATATTTTTCAAGCATGAAATGACAAAGTATCAATGTGTTGTTTATTGTATGCCTATTGTGCCTCTCAACAAAGTTACTGAAATACCAAAATCAGCAATAAAAACAACAATGAAACAAAAACCAAACACGGAGCTAAGAGGGCTAGAAACTGACTTTTATTACCTAAGTTCCTGAGTAAAAAATCTACTCAAAGATGAGGGTCTTCGGATTAGAGGTTTCTCTGGAGAGCGTGACTTGAAAGAGGCAAGGGAGAACCCTCCTCGGGCCACGTGTTCTGCCTTGATCGGTGTGGTGGTTATAAATGGAAAAGTAGACAGCATATTTAAAAGACGGTGCTAGTCAGCGTTGTGTTACTGCAATTAATACCTGGGATAATTAATTTATAAAGAAGTAGGGCGCTTGGGAGGGAGGGAGGGATGGGGAGAGAGAGAGAGAGGAAGGAGGAGAAAAAGAAGGAAGGAAACATTTACAAAAGAGAGGAGGAAGGAGGAGAAAGAAGGAAAGACGGAAGGAAAAAGAAAAAGAGGAAGTGAGGAAGGAAGGAAGAGGCAGTGTTTTATGCTCAGTCACTGGATGAGATACTCAACATCCACGCCGTACAGGAGGAGAAGTTTATTCTGGCTCACAGTCTGTTTTCTGCCCATACACAGGCGGTTCCAAGGCGGAGTGGTCCTGGTGAAGGGCCCGGGAACGGGAGAGCTGCTCATCTCATGGGACCCAGGAAGCTCAGCAAACAGCCCAGAGTCTGCAGGGAGCGAAACCTTTCTAGGCCGCCCCCGTGACCTACGTCTTCCTCCCAGCAAGTCAGCTGTGGCCCCATATGAATATCTAGAGGTGAATCACAGTAGACAAAAGGGTGGGAGGGAAGCAGAGGGGTTGAGGGAAGGAGAGAGGAAAGGGGAGGAGAGGGGAGAAGCGGAACGAGAGGGTAAAGCATGGCATACCCTCAATGCCCAGCAGCAATGAGCTCCAGCTCTTCAAATCCCCAGGAAATTCCAATAATGCTACCCTGGTCAATAAGCGCTTAACACACGAATCCTTGGGTAGTGTTTCAGGTCCAAACTACTGCAACGACAAAAAATAATAAATAAATAAGTGACTAAGAGAAACTTCTAGATGCAACGAACTAGACTTTCCAAGTTATTTTCCATGAAACATTTCTTACTTCCTGCTCTCCAGTCCCTTGGAGAATGTGATGCAATTAGCATTTTAGAGGCTCTGAGGAGTTTGAAATATCAGAGCTTGCTTCACTTTTAAACCATGTTTCCCAAGACTTGCTGGACCAATGAAACATTTTTTTTTTATTTAACACTTTTAAACATCTATAGAACAAGTGTTCCAAAGGGATATATTTTAGGAAACACTAAACAAGCCAATTAAAAATATACTGTTTCAAATCTATGGAGGTTTAGAAAGGTTAATTGTTTTTGTCAGAGCTCACACTGCTTGTAAAGGGCAGAGACTAGATTGACAACATAGAGCCGTCTGATTAAATGGCCATTCCTTCTCCCTGCTCTCTTCATTTACCTGCTCGGGGGCTTTGTTTTCCCATCTGTAAAATGGGGAGCTGAAAAATACTGACTGCGAGATAGCAATTGGTGCTGTTACTTTCTCCATCTGTGTTTTGGGTTCTGTCTCAGTCACTTTTCTCTTTGCTGGGTCAGAATACCCGACACCTTCAACTTACAAGAGAGGGTTATATTGGCTGACGTGTTTTAGGGGCTTCGGTGTACGGTTGGATGGTTTAGACAGAAAGCGAGTGCTGAAGAGTTCGCTGGGGAAGAAAGCTACTCGTGCCAGGTCTCCAAGGGCCGCCTCTTCCCATCAGACCGCACCTCTGTAAACTCATTGATGGATCGATCCACCCGTGATTACAGCCCCCCGCGATCCAGAACACACGGGGCTTTGTGGGGGACACCCCAGATCTGAACCGGAAGGGGCTAGTTTAAGTAATCTTTAAAATAAGAATAATAACACCCTGAGTAAAGTGTTTCATATTTTCATCATTTTCTACTTAAAAAAAAAAGCAGGCGATGAAGTAATGAGACAGGCAGATAATAAAAGATGCTTTAAAATGTTACCTTTTCTTTTGACTTTTGAGGCGCTCCCGTGTCAGAGATGAGCGGTCACTGCCCTAATTTGGGTTTCTGTTCATAAACACCTTTAGGCCAGGTACACAGAACACAGGCATTATTACCCATTGAATGCTCAAGCTCACCTCTTCAGCTTCTAAAGTGTATCAAAATGCTTATCAGTAGGGAAAGCAAGAATCATTTATGATGGGATGCGCCTGAGGGTCACGCTATACATTAGCTTCTAAAAATACTTTTAGTCCTTTTAAAGAGCTAAAGGGGTACTATGATTATGCCTCTTTGCACGTTGGAAAAACAGATTCTAGAATATTCTACAAGTTACCTAACTTTGTGGTTGAAATCAGGTCCATCTGCCACTTGCCCCTCTCCACTTCCCTTAGGTGTCTGATGGTGCTAGTGCTTCACGGTGGTTTAAAGGTGTTCACGGGCCAGGGATCTGTCTGCAGTTTACCTCTATTTTTGTATCCTCTACAGCTCAGAACTCATCTACAGTGGTCTCTGAAGGATCCCCACATGAGATATGGAAAGAATCATGGATATCATTACACTTTCCTTGTATCAAGTTCTGAAACTCTTTCCAAATTTCTCTTTCAGGAAAATGTAAACATCAGTTGTGATATGGAGGTGGAATAAAAAAGAGTACATAGATCTGTTCCACCACTCCCCGCAAAAAAAGAAAAAAGAGAAATGCCATATAGCCTTTTAACATCATGAAAGACTACACCATTGCAACATGTCCTTCCAAATTATCAGGAAATAATGGTGTCCTTATAAACAGACTAATTCGTAATGCAGAGCACACTTGTAATGATATAGCAACATACAATGTGGACATCAGCTTAAGCATGTGAATAACTAGATGCTATCAATCGGAATGTTTTCTAAGCACTGCCCTGCAAATTCCAACTCCCACAATTTAGCCAATACTATTTACTGGTTATGTATTCATAAACAATCTCGTGTTTTTGAGTGACTACTGTATATCATATCCTGTGGTAGATGGGTATTGAAAGATAAAGTCATTCTTGATTCCTCCCTTATATTAATAACTTAAAGGAAATTAAAAGAAAAAACATGAGCAGCTACAGGATTATTAAAGAAGGCAACTAAGTCAAGGAAGAATAAAATACACTAATAAAATGTTAATAAATTCAGGCAAGTGTGATGCAAAGCTCTCAGTCCTGAGACATCCACCCCATGTTGTTCTCCCCCCAAACCCACCTGTGCGTCCATGATCACGATGCTGCCATCGTCTCTCTCACTTTTTACCCACTTTCTATATCCTTCAAACTATGCATTTTTGATATTTCTACTCTTTTATTTCTACAGGCTTCCTTTCAAGTTTATTATTAATGTTATATCTTATTAACAACAGCGGACAGTGAGCTAGGGGAAGGGCTCAGTGTGACAGTACTTGCTTAGCATGAATGAGGCTAGGAATTTGCTCCCAGTGCTGGAAATAGCAACAGTAAAACAGAACCCTAATAAGGGTCATTTGAGAATCCTTTCAGCTATGCTTGAGTATGCCCTGAGACTCTACTAGGTAGAGCCACCAGATACTGGAATAAGGAGATGACCTCTCAAATTTGGCAAATCTGAGGCTTCTTGCCAAGATCAGTCATGCCCATCAGCTTTCTTTAAGAGTATACTAGGCCAGGCGATGGAACACGCTTAGTTTTAAATACCACAGACTGTTCTGTCCCTTGAGTTGTGGCTAGTATCTCTTAAAATGTGACAGTTGACATGGATTATGCAGTATTGGTAGCTTGCATGTTGGTACAGTGATTGGTACATTCATATAAATACATTTACCCATCCACATAAAATTATCTCATTTGATTGTATTCTGCTTCGATATTTTCAAAGTATACTATCTCAAACATACTTTTCTTTCTTTCTGCTTTTCTTTCTCTCCTTCTTTCCCTTACTCCTTCCTTTCTGCTCTCATTGACTAGGTTATACAATACCAGCAGTATTGTCATGAAGGCCATTTTCCAAAACTGCAGAAAACTGTGAAAATATAATTTAAGGTAAGGATTAAGAGAATGTCTCGTAAATCAAACGTACGCTCTTTAGGTTTGGTTTACTCGTCTCACGAGCATACTATAGGCGACACTTAGATGACTCCCATGTATTTATGTTCAATAGAGCGTGGATTTCCATTGGGAGTAAACTATTCACAGATGAGATTCTCAGTAACAGAGCACACCTGGCACACTTTATCTGGTTTCCCTAGCAGAACACATTGGTTGGTTGTCTGGATTATGCTAAGCATCATATCGATTCCAGCTCTGATTCTTGAGGACCCTTATGAATGATATGCTCAGCATGCAATCAGGTGCCAAAGCTGAAAGGAAACTTGCTGGTGAGGGACAAGTGACTCTGTAATTAGCATTGATTGCTAATTGATTAAAAAGGTAACTGCAAGCCTACGTGATCTGTTCAGAGAAAACATTGACTAGTAGCTCTGACATGTCTACTTTTATCTTGATCTGGAAGAGGTTTCTCAGGAAGAGGTATTCCAGCCAGAGGAAAAGGACACTTAGCATAAAGGGGGTCTTCATACAATGAATCTTGACGCAAGAACTACAGAATAGCATTTCATATACATATGGGAAGAGATAAGTATTCTTCATTGTGGAGCTGCGCTAATGATTCGAGCCACACCAAGCCATTTAACGATTAAGCAGTTTCTGAACACTCTGTTATGGCCATGGACCAGATCCCTAGAACATTTGTGAAACTGGGAAGTCTGTGCAGACAATGCCACGTAGAACCAAAGGAGGCAGTCCTCAGAGGCAGTGGGCTTAGCAGTGGGTCCAGACCTTGAGGACCAGCCCCGCATTTGCTCAGAGAAGATCTGAGCAGGGTGAAAGACACATAAACTACACAAGCCAAACGCTTATGGCATGAGAGAAGTGTGATTCTTAATATTATCTTTAGCTTCCAATGAATCACATCAGGGCTCCTTTCTCATGCCCTGGATCCCAACGAATGTGTTTTGAAAGGACCAGATAAGAAAGGAGAGGTGCCACCAGCACATAGGATAAAATACTATATTTGAAAAGTAGAATAGGGAGCTGGGGATTTAGCTCAGTGGTTCTGCCACCTGTCTCATAAGCGCAAGGTCCTGAGTTTGATCCCCAGTACAAAATAAAATAAAATAAAATAAAAGTATAATAAAATAGTGGAATAGAGGGCTTGCTTTGGCAGCATATGTATTAAAAATGGAATAGAGGAGTAAAATAAAGTACTTGTCAGTAGAGGAATGGTTGAAGAAGTTGTAGTAGAGACATAAAGGAAAATGCAAATAAAATGGTATTTTATTATTGATACAGAAGGTATTCAATATAATTATGAGAATAAATACAACATAACTCCTTACTATAAAGAAAAAAACACATTCATATGTGTGTTTGTGCATGTGCGTATGTCTAGTATAGAGCGATACTGGTAAATAAGTAGGAGCTATTGAGGAGCCATAAAACTGCAGGGAGTGGAAGTACAGGGCAGGACTGGCTTTGGTCAGCAGGAATGGCATTCTGTAGCTTCTCTTTGGGTGCACGTTTTTGCCTATGTGTCACTCAACTTTTTTGTTACTGTTTCTAAATGCATAAGAAAGTCAAACTATTGAGAGAAGAGATACTCTTTGAAGGTTACAGAGGTTTCAGCCTGTGGTTGCTGGGTGCTGTTGCTTTGGAGCACATAGCAAGGCAGCACTCACGGTGAGAGCCTGCAGCAGAGGCGGCAGCTCACTTGATGTCAAGTTGGGAACAAAGGCAGTGGACTAGAAAGAATGGCGGTCCCAATATCCCCTTCACAGCCAGGCCCCCAGTAGCCTAACCTCGTCCCACTAGGGCTACTCCTAAGTTTCCACCACCTCCCAATAGCTACTGGATAGGAACCAAGTCTTGAACATACGGGCTCTTGGGATACATTCAAGATCAAATATATAATTGTGTGTGTGTGTGTGTGTGTGTGTGTGTGTGTGTGTGTGTGGTAAGAGGTGGGGTGGATTCCAGATAATCACTAAAGTTGGTGATGCTCTGGCTATCTGTACAATTGTGTGATTTTAAAATTTGACTACTTGGACCCAAAAGTGAAAGTGAAAATTAATTACTGTCCTAAAAATCCTAAACCTATTTTAGATTTAAAGCAAACTACCCTCATTTTACTGTTAATGGGCAAGACTATAAGACCTACAGTGAATTTGCTCTGGCGACTTTGTAGGAATTCTTCTGGCTAGTGCTCTCTAGTTAAATCATATGCAAGGTCACCCTTATAGCAACATAGTCTCTAACTTTTGTAGTTTTAAATCAACTATGGCATGCCTATGTGACTCAGCTTAGAAATGAAGTCTGAATTAATTAAAATTGTCAGATGATACTGAATGTCCTTATGACTCACAAAAGGATTTTTTAGAGTTGTAGATGCTCTGAGATTATATATATGTATATATATATATATATCTATATCTATATATCAAATGGTTGATTTATCTGGCTGATTAATGCATGCATTACCTTACCTAGAAATCATTTTCTTATAGTGAGGCTACAAAACACCCACTTCTTTTCCATTTCTGGAAACCACCATTGTATTGTTATTATCTACAGGCACATTGCTATACAGTAGATTGTATTCAATATATTCCTCCTACATAACTGAAATTATGTATCCTTTGGCTGATGCCCCCTCATTCTCTAGTCTCCCCAATCCCTAGTAACCACTATTGTATTCTTACACATTGATGAGATCAACTTTTAAATTCCATATTAAGTGAGACTACTATATTTCTTTCTGTGTCTGCCTTATGCCACTTAAAATGCCTCCCAGGTTCATCTCTCATTATAAATGCCAGTTATTTCATTCTTCACACTAATATTTTATTTTATAACCCTCTGTCTATCATCCATCTATCTATCTAACATTTCCTTTATCCATTTGCCTGTCAATGGACACTTATTTGGATCTCATACCTTGGCTATTGTAAATAAAGCTGCTATAAACAGGAGAGTGAAGATAACTTCTCCATATAAGCATTTCATTTCTTTTTTAGATTGAAGGCAAATAGAGTCCCAGTTAAACTGTATTAGCCCAGTATAATTGAGATCATAATATTTGATCTTTCTCATTCTTTTTACCCATGCTGAAGCTGACCCTGGTTAGCTTTCCTTACACTGCAGGACTTCTGAGATAATTCAACTTAAAATATTGTGTGATATCAATTTGATTCCCATTCTTTGAACAGTGGTACATTTTCTAACTGTCCATTACTTGAGGCACTTTTATAATTTAACCACTTCCTTCAGTCCCTAATGCTGGCTCTTCTGTCCTCTTGGTGTCCTCCAAGGAGTGTGCCTGGTACTGACCCTGATGCGTAGAACTCATAGATTTTCTATCACATTGGCTCTCAAGTCATTGTGGAACTGGAAATACAGCTATGATGCTTTATAAGGGTCAACCCAACAAATCTGGAAATTAGATTCCTGGATTTACTTTCTTGTTATGGGTTGAGTTAGGACTTGCATGGCAGGGAAGGTGAAGTGAAACAGCTCAGTTGGAGTGGGGCTCCTGGCCCCACCTAACCTCATTCACTCACCTTGTCCCTGACTTGCTGGACGTCTATACTGATGGGAATAGCAGCTTCACTCCTCTTTCAACACCCGTTGTCTCTCTTTTTTCAGTCTCTTCAGACTAGGGCTGTGTTCATGTATAGAGACGAACCCTGTGGTATCAGGTCCTTCTACAAATAACTTGTACCAACAAGGTTGTTGGTGGGGGTGGGAGAGAGAGAGAGAGAGAGGAGAGAGAGAGAGAGAGAGAGAGAGGAGAGAGAAACAGCCAATTTTTACTCACAGGTTTCTGTTTGTCTTCATGGATTCTACTTGGTCTTCACAGATTTTATCTTTCTTTTGCTGTCCTTATTCTATACCCAGCTTTTCTTCCTGATCAGTGGTTCTGCTCATCCAGGGTGAGTCCAATTTCACCACCAGATCCCACAATTTTAGAAAATTCAATTCCTACAATGATGGCCATGCTCTGTATCACAGTGGTACTGTTTTCCTGCTCGAATCCTCAACAACGCAATGACCACTGCTTTTCTCCAAAATTCAGTGTATCAGGCAGGTCTTGGGGACATTCACCTTATGTGTGAACATTTGACTCAGCCAGTGGAGCAACTCAAAGTTTCTCCCTGGAAATATTTCAGAGCACTTAGTAACCCGGCTTTGGAATCTAAGCCAAATTCTCTCGAACACATTCTTATGAAAAACAAAAGTTTTGTTTTATTCCCACCCCCTCTCTTCGAAGAAAAGATATTTGAAAAATGGAAGAGTGTATTATATTCTGCTTGGGCTGCGCGAGTTCTGACGGCATTTACCTGAAAAGTTTCTGTCATTCCCAGACTTTCAGGTTACTGTCAGTGATCGGTGAGGAACAGATTGCACTTTCCTGAACTGAAACCAAATGAATTCCACAAAGTGAAAATGAACTGGTGACACTTGAAAAAAGAAAGAGAAAAGAAAAGAAAACTCACTTTAAGAAATCGAAGCCCCCCCGCATTTCTCCCCTCACTTGCAGCCAACTCTGCTCCCCACGCATTCTGATCATCTCCCTGCACGGTGTCTGTGGTGGTGACAACTGATTCGTGTGCTCATTTGCATATCCCTCGGTGCCAGCAGCAGAATACAGAACGGGGCCTCCTGCTCTGGCAGCCGACACAGCACTGGCAAATCAGGGGAGCTGTCAGAAACAGCTGTCCATTAACGAAGTTTGTGGAAACAACCAGGAGCTGTTTGAAAATGCTAGGTGGTAGAATTTAATTGGAGTAGCAACTGTTCAAAATGAAGATTAAAAGGACCAGTCAGTCAATGTGGATTTTGAGACACCTTAAGAAATAACATTTCGGGTTTGATTAATGCTGCATGAAGTTTGAACATTGCTCTCCTTCGCCCATCAGGCCTGTTTGCTGGTAGTTAACTGCAGTGAACGTATCTAGCAATGAAGGCTTAAACGTTCCAAAGTGCAGAAAGCCTGTTTTTGGTGTTGAAACCCTTTCTGATTTAAGAATATAGGAATTTAATAGGAATTGTATGCGGTTTGAGTAGCTGCATCCAAGTGTTACTAGAAGAAGCAAATTTAGTGTTTTGGGTATGAAGAGCTATTTAATCACACCAAAGTGTGGCTATATGAGAACAGCACTCAACCCAGCCTAGGCTCTCCTCCCAGACACAGGAATTTGCAAGGAACATTGGTTTCCAGGATATGAGTCAGGAAGAAAAGGGGAGCTGGACCCCTTTAATCCTTGGCGCCTCTCCGCAGAGTGCCATAGAGGTTTCTGGATGTGCTGACACCGAAGAAGAGGCAGGGGCAGGTGTGTGGGGCTGTGGAGATTCCATGGGGATAGGTAATGACTTCCTAAAAAGTCTTTCTTTTTCCTAAAAACTACCAATTTTAACACTGCATTAAAGCCTGGAAAATAATTCTGCGTGCCAGAAATAGCTACTTACAATTTGGAACAGAATTTGTAACCCCCAATCCTGAATTTTAAGTATGTTACATTCACGATTGAATTCTAAATGCTTAAGTGAACATTTTCAGTTCCATCTAGAAGGCCTTTGTGAACAGCAAAAACTGCAAGTTCCTACCATTTTCTTTAATTCTTCGATTTTTATTATTGAGTAGATTGACAATAATTCCGTTGCTTACAAATGTCCACTTTAGGATCGATGTAAGAGGGAGCATATTGCATTGAATTAAGAATGCCAGCACAGGGATAGTGTGTTTAGATGTTTAGAAAAATAACCAGAGCTGGGATAGCTCAGATTTAGGACACTGGGTGCCGGGTGGCAGTTCCCGACAGGTACTGTGTGGCAGGCAGGAAAGGAAAGGACAGCTGGTGGCTTAGTAAACAGATTTCAGTTTAGGATTTTTCTGAACATTTTAATATGCTGCTCCACTGTATCTTTTGTTCCCTATTCAAGAACAAAGCATCTTCCTATTTGTTGCCTTGAAATATCAGATTGGTTAGAAAACAGATATGGAAAAAAGAAAAGCACTTGGCATTAAATATTTCTAAATATCGGCTGCCACATCCCAGTAATAAGGGGAAGGGGAGGGGAAGGAAGAGTCCATAAAATGAAAGAGCACGAGGGTATTTGCAAACAGGAATAGGTGGCACTTCGCACCTCCGAGGGTTTTACCTTAAATTACGGTCTCTCTTCCCAAACATTCTTTATCCCCCAACTTCTACCAAACAGTGAGAAGTCCAGATGCCTGGGAAGCCTTGAAGGGAACAATGAAAGTCTGACGAGTGAGACGGACTGTGTGACACTGAGGATGTCACTCCTATTAAAAGCCTACCTGGTTTGTCTAAAAGATACCAGATACTGAAGAGGGACAGTGATCTTTGAGTCCCCAGGTATGCGTGGCATTCTGTGCCTACCTCGGCAAAAAGCAGCAATTTGTGTTTGCTGTAAAGATCTCTAAATACTGTCTCATGGAGGCTCATTTTTAATTGTCGCCAGCCTCAGGGGAACGTGTGATTGAGTCTTCAGTGCTGCTCGTGTTGGACGTGTGAGATGCAGGAAGGCAAGGGGAAGCTGTTCTCTGAGTATAAATTTTTCCTCCAGCTTGAGGGGAAAAGAGGTGTGCTTCAGAGTTCAGTTTTTATCTTGTCATTTTTAGTTAAATTAAGCTCACATTCACAAGATAGTGCTGGTACATTAGCACTGGGTTCACCAGAGGGAAATGCTACCCTTTGTGTAACTTTAGCGTTTTCCGATTCATGGTGCTCAGGGATTCTAGGTTTGCTTTTCCGGACCTTGCACTTGTGAGGCAGGCGGCAGCACCCCCGAGCCAAATCCCCCACCCAGGATGTCTAGTTTTGAAGAAAAAGATAATTGAAATCAAAGAAGAATTAAACATGATGTGGAAGCAAACCTTTGCACTTCATTATATTCGACTGAGGGCATTATGAGGAGAATTCACATTTTAATAGCATCTTGGTTTGAATTTTGTAATTAGTTTTAATATATATACATTTTTTGGTGCTCGGGATCGAACTTGGATCTTTATGCTTGGGAAGCCAGCAGTGGAACCACTGAGCTAAATTCCCAGCCCTCTAGTTTTAATATTCAGGAAGAATACGTATGATATTAACAGATTTATAAAATGTGCAATTGAGAACTACTCAATAGCTCAATAAAAGGATGATATATAGTAATCTTATTGTGAATATCATGGAGATGTCAGGGTTACAACTGGAAGAAAGTGAAATCAAGGTGATTTCAAATTCTTTGTCTTTCTTAGTAATTTTGTTTCTCTTTTCCTTTTCTGGGAGCAATGTCTCTATTTGTTTGTGTACCTTTATATCTCTTTCCAGCACAAAAGGTTTGTCTTGTTTGTAGAATATTACCAGAAATCTGTTTTCCTTTTCCCAGTGTATGCAGCATCTTGTGATTTAGATATGCTATGTTTTCTAATGCTCATGTTTTGGGGGACTGGATCTCAATTCAGATGTGGGCTTTTGTGTCATGAAAGCTCTACCTTTGACAGTTGATTGGTCCACTGGTGAGATCATAATTTGATGGTAGCACTGGAAGGTGACGGAAACGGGAAGTAGGGCTTAGTTACAAAATTGAGTCACGCATGGCAGTGTGACTCTGGGGGCTATATTTTGTTCTGGACCCCCCCTCCCCGGCTTCTATGAGGTGAGCAGTGCTCCTGGGCCGTGCCTTTCTGTCCTGATGTTTCTGCTTTGCAACAAGACAAAAAGTAATGGAACCAGCTGACCATGAACTGAAATCTATGAAATAAAGAATGCAATTAAATCTCTCCTCTTTTAGGCTGTTTATATCAGAGGGTTTTTTTCACATTCACAGAAAGCTAACAAATGCACAACCTCACTAATTTCAGCGATCTTTGTAGTTGTTGCATGGTTTGTTGTCACCAAGGGAAGGTGAGCAAAAGCGACAACACCAAGGTCTAAGATTTTAAGACATTGTGTTCCTCCTACAGGTCTATCTGTAGAGGATAGCCTACTCAGGAAGACTAAATGGATATGGGATAACAGGGCCGTGGGTGAAGGCCTGGATTCCTGAACCACTGCTAGAGGAGAGCTGCCCACTCACTAGTGTCCTCTGATATTGCAAACTTACAAGAATGCTTCCACCGCTTAGCTTAGATTCTGTGTTAAACGTGCCCGTACCAAAATCATAAGTGAACAGCCACTGCTGTCATCACCAAATGTTTCTCCTTTCCTAAAAAAAATCTCTTCTTCTGGGGCAAAATATCTGACACACACATTTCAGGGAGTGATTAAATTTGTCTCACAGTTTCAGAGGTTTCAGGCCAGGGTAGGCTGGCTCCGCGGTACAAACATTATAGCAGAAGGGCATGGGAGAGGAAAGCTGCTCAAGTTGTGGCATCTAGAAAGCAGACAGACAGACAGACCTGGGAGGAAGGGGCCTAAAACCCTAAGATATGGTCTTCAGGGGCCACAACTCCAAAACCCACCCAGACATGCCCAGCAGCCTGCATCTCTCAAACCAACCAAGTTGACAGTCAAGATGAACTGTCACATAATGAAGCTGATGCAATTGCTTGTACCTAGAAAATAAGAGTAAAAAATAAGATATAAATGGAAGTTCATGCAACATCTACTGATTTTTTTCCAGTTATCCTAAAGTACATAATATGCTTCCCCCAAACTAAGAATATTATGTACCTTGGATTTTGCTAACTAATTTGGAGTTGTTAATAAAGAGTTGCTGTGTTTGTCATGCGTGTCCTAACAAGAAGCAAAGCATGATTTGAGGTAAGGGTCTCTTCTACTTGGCAACAGAACACATGAAAGCAAGGGAACTTTCCTTTGTGCTGACTGACTGCATTTCCTGTCAACTCAACAAACTTGGAGATTTTTTCCCACAATCAAAAAGAAATTTTTAGCTATATATTTTAATAGAATGTGAGCACTATAGCATTATGCGTGTCCATATATATGATTCTTCAAAAGTATATGGCTATGTAACTTCCTATTTCTAATGGAAAGTTGTTTTTCTTATCTACACAGTAGTCAGATCTTTTGTGTGAATCCAGTGGCACTCTCCAATTATTTTGCACTTTCAGATTGGAACTATTTCTCCAGTGTCACCATTTTTAGCATACAATGGAGTTTTAAAACTGTGAAGGCTGAAAAACAAAGAGCGGTGCTCCTACTATAGGGAAACTAGGCAACAGAGTGTATCTGTACAATACAATGTGACCTGTAGTCTAAATTTGTGCTCTGCTGAATCCTTTTTAAAATTGTCTGTGTTTTCTTTAATCCTTACAGTAATACTTTCAACTAGAGAAAAATAAGAAAAGCCAAATTAAAAGGAGAAATGTTGAGTAGCACTGGAAGGTTCTGGCTTAGGAATCAGAAGGGTAAGGAGCCAATAATTGTGACTCAAACCAGAATCATGACTTGGGACAACACTGTTGACAACACTCCTGAGCTTTGGTTTGTACCTTGGTGAGTTGTGAATTATATGTTCCTATGGGAGAAAGGACTAAGTTTCTCCATGCAAAGTGCTACAGGCACATACGAGTGACCAGCACATCTAACTGCTCTGTTTGTGAGGAGCATTACTACTGTTGTTTTCATCATAAACTTCCACAACCCTGCTGTGTAAGACATCAAGGTTTA